GAGTTGAAATTAACTGAAAATAATAAAAATGTTTCAATCATTTGTTGCAGACTGTACGATCACCTTGTCTTCTGATCTCGCTAAAGTAGACATTTATTTCGTTTAACTTACTCTTGCACAACGACACACTTGGAGTCATTATCTGTGCACTGCGAGACACGTTTGCTAAACAACGCTCTACATTCGAGACTCATGTCGTCAAAGTAAACACGCTTCCAGTTAATAAATTTAAACAGAGAACAGAACAAAGAAACAGATCCTTAATCGAAGAAAATCCACGCAGCCTAAGGTTAGGTTTTGAAGATTGACTCACCCGCCAGTAGGGGTATTTTATATCTGTAGAATTTTCCATGTCTTTCTCATTTTAATCATCTATAAGTATATTATTTCTTTATTTATCTCTTAGGCGTGTTCAAAAGTTTCCAACGTAAAACAGGTTTGCAATTGTGTATTCAGTCATTTACTTTAAATCAATTCTCCTCCAAGAAAGCCGATAAAGCCTCCAAGATGCAAGGCGCAACTGAGAGTTGCGTCTTTTAAAATGGTAAAACCTTACTGAGGAGAGAGGACAATAAAAGAACAGGTTTCAATGAAATGTTTTTAGTCTCTGTCTATATTTCTGAGATGAGGTATTATGTACACTATGTACATTATTCGGACTATTATCCTCATCTTTGTCGCCACATGCCAGTTCGGCATTCCAACCACCTGAAGAAGGCCGGAGCTTACAACGGCCGAAATGTTGTAATAAATATGGCGACAAAGATGAGGACAATAGACCGAATATTGTAAATAATGAAAATATTTTTTATTATTTTCATTTAGATTTTTGAAGATCGCGCTTGACAGGAAAGCAAGAAACGAGAAGTGCGAGGGAAAAGCTATTAGCATAGAACTTATAGTTACGTCTAGCAATTTCACAATTTAGATATTTAGTTGCCAATCTAGTCAGCTATGTGCCATGCGTGATACACGCTTAGGCGATCATGTATCTTTCGATACATGGCTGACGAGGTAGAATTTTCCCCGCAGTAGGTTGCCGTTTCTTTCTACGGTAGACTAGTTGCCATCCAAGGCTATAGAACTCGGTTTCTCCTGCTATTTACCCATATCCGCGAGGAGAAGAAGAGGATTTATACCTCTCCCAAGAGTATTAGCACGTAAGTGAATGTAATGGATTCGACTGGAATTCGAACTCGGCTCTATTCATTACTCCACCGTGTCTCCTCCTTTCTCCTCCAATCTAGTCCTGCGCTTAATTCGAGAATTCTGAGTTAGAAGAGAAGAAAGCACACCAGTAAAAGAAGAAAGCACACCAGTACAATTACCGTGAAAATATTTATAGACATGGCACAGGGAAGCTATATTACGGCGATGAGAAAGTAACTGAACCCGAGATGCACGGTTAGGATCAATAATGTTGCAGATTCTTCTTTGGGTTTTGTCAAGAATCTTTAGATAGTCGAGGTGGGCTTAATAGCAAAGAAAATGGTATCAGGGAATCGTGTACAAATTCCAGCTTTGTATGTTTTCGTTTCTTTCGCGTTCGTTTCATAGTGAAAAGAGTATAATCATTTCTTGGGTTCCAGCTGTGGGTTCATTAATCGGACGGAATGCGCTTTCTAGGCAGGCTGGAAACTAGTCCAGGAGAAATAATTCACTAATTTTCCCAAGAACAATCATCAATGCAATTATTACAGCTAATAAATAAGATAGGAGGCTGTGGAGAGTCATGGATACTTACGTTCTATATAGCTTACGGTCAAATCACGCTGAAACACCGGTTCTCGTTCGATCACCGAAGTTAAGCATCGTAGAGCCAGGTCAGTACTTAGATGGGGACCGCTTGGGAACACCTGGTACTGTAAGCCCCCAAAGTCCAACCCTTACCTCACAGTCGGTGGGGGTGTAAACGGTAGTGTCAGAACTATGCCGCCCGGAACTTCGTTCCTGGTAGGGCCACCCAACGCGGACAGGTCTGACACACACGCCGGCTAACAAGGGCTCTGGTGAAAATCCAAGGAGCGTCTGCATCGGTAACCGGCGGCTTCTGGTCGTTCCTGTCTCTGCGTCTGTGGGAATCCCGCGGCAAGCAAGAACGTTATTCGAGTAGGCCTGGGTACCCTACTTCTGTAATTTATCCCAAGAATCTTCTTCTCATAACAGGAAGAAGCCGGCTCAATCCGCCCAGGGTGAATGCCGCATCAGTACAGTACAGTACGTTCTATATGGATATAGTATTAAGAAAGTGTAATGCTATCGTTGTACAGACTAAAAATGATACAGGAATAATTCTCGCATACGTGAAATTACCACTTATTCAACTCCGGACTTTGTTAATTAACATCGACATGTGGGTCTGTGGTTTTGAGAGTTATCACCGAACGTGGATTTTTTTCTTCTCTAGTGATCTTTTCTCCCTCAAGTGGAATGCTTATATATTTTCCAGTCATTTGGTTCATGTGCACAATCTACGCGCAGCTGGGTCGAGCACCTGATTACATGACGCGGTAGCCAGTGAAGTGTTGTGAGAAGCGAGATCTGCACCTTGTGATTAGGAAACCACCTTCCAGATTAAGCCCCTGATGCAACTGGCTTCCACGGCATTTTGGTATGACTAATTGCAAAGTCTATTTTAGTATCTTTTGGGACGAGGTCAGTGCACATTGGGGTCATAACCGATTAACCTATCTCAGAAAAAGGCCCCCCTTATTGACATTAAATTCGATTTCTGCCATCTGATATTTCCTGGTCTAACTCACATAATACATATTTTTATTAAATAAACTTTTCGAAATTCTCTCTTTCTCTTAGACACACACACACACACACACACACACACACACACACACACACACACACACACACACTTACTCATATACAGACTCACAGTAATAGGCAAATGAATAAAAAGTGGAAATTTTTTTAACACGCTCTTTTCCTTGTTCTGGCAGGCATACACTGAAACACCTCGAGTAAGTTATTTGCTATTTCCCCCTTGTTTCTTTTGCCTTCAATAAATAAAATACAAAAGGCGATTATCTTTCTTTGCTGGAGATAAATAACATGGTTCACTTGACGGCTGCTTAGTGGCGTCACTCAATAAAGTGACGAGAGTGGCTAGTCATTCAGTTTGTTTACAGCAGTCAAATCAAGCGGTTGCATTATTTAACCTGGGTTAAGGTGCTCGGGCAGAACCAAAATCTTCCTCCCTAGCAGCTTACAAGATATAGAAATAAACTCCGGCTCACAGTCCTCAATTTGGGAAAAAAAAATCAATACACGTCGTCTGCCTTTCAGGGAATATGTCCTCGCCTGAGACCGAGTAGATTTTCCAAGCCCTCCTTCCTAATAATGTGCCCCAGAAACTTCAATGGCCTCTTCCCAATGTCATGCATAAGTTTAATTTCTGTTTAGATTATCTGTAAAACTTCGACGTTGTTCGGTCTATGGTATTCTTAGCATTTTTCTGTAGAACCACATTTCTGTTGTTTCAAGTCTCTTCTTCATCTTTGTGGAGATTTTCCAGAATTCGCTGCCATACAGGAGGACAGATATCACGTAACAGTTCAATATTGGTTTTGTTTTTGTTTCTAACAAAGATTTTCTATCTCTTAAAACCATGTTTACCTTTTGGAATGCGGATTTGGCCATCCCAATACGTCTTCAGATCTCAGTGTTGCACTTTCCGTCCTCTGTTAGAACAATTCCCAGATATTCAAATTTTTGTACTTGTTTGATTTTAGTATCCCCGATTTGTAATTTGCATTTTGGGATCATCCATTTTGCATTCTGTCTTCTTGTAGTTTATACTGCGTCCTTTCTTCTCGCTTTCCTTCGCTATCTTCTGTAGGAGCTTTTGTAATTTCCTTTCCGTCTCTGCTATCAACACAGTGTCATATGAATATTGTTAAAAATTCTTTGAGCGAATGAAGCCTGCAGATTTTAACGAGGACCGTCCTTAATCGAACCTTGTCGACTGGAGCTGCAGAATCACAAAGAACTGAACCAAATAAAAGAAAACACGTGACTTGACATTCAACAACAGCAACTAAAATGGATAACATATGTAACTCGATGAGAAAATAATGACAAAATCAAGATGTTGATATTCTACACTACATTAAACAAAAGTTGAGGAAGGAAACCCCGATCAGTATAAGAAAGAGTATTAACAATTACTGGACTTGTGTTGTTGAGTAGTTTTCACAGTGGAAGCTTGTATTTTAAGTCGGTCCTAAAAGGGTCCGATGTAAAAACGTTAGGAACTTGCAATAATAGTTAATGACGCAGCAATCTAGTTGGGGTGGTTGATACTTCAGTGTCCAACATCGACTGACTCACTCAACTCCACTGAGCCCAACTGGCGACCGCTACTACTACTACTACTTATTATGTGTGGGAGAGTCTATTACAATAAAATAGGTAATGTTCTAGTATAACAACTTGAGAATCTTATTTTCCTGAAAAATTGTTTTAAAAGAAAGATCTTATAATTTTGAATCGAAACCAATGCTCGATGTTTCCTCATAAGGAATCGGTTACTATAATCGTTACAACCGCTCTTTTCCTTGTTCTGGCAGCCATACACTGAAACACCTCGAGTAGGTGATTTGCTATTTTCCCCTGTTTCTTTTGCCTTCAATAAATAAAATTCTATTCGCAGGTTAGAAAAGCCAAAGGGAAAACGTAAAAATATATTGCGAAAACCATACAATCGTAGCTAGAAGAAAATAGATGCGTTCAAGAACACAAACGTCAATATTGTGTATTTCTATAGCTTGATGTTTATTTCATGGTGATATATTTTTGTGGGAATATTGCCATAATATTTGTAAACATGTAAGCTGACATTCGTAACTATTCCTGTTCATAATATGAAGGGGAAAAAAAAGAAAACTTTCTGTCCTAGTAGAAGCAGTTCACATGTTAGTGACAATGAGTCGCTTTATTATTGATATCTGAACAAAATCTATCTATCTATCTATCTAGTTACCTAGCTATCTGTTCATTATCTATCAATCAATCTATCCATCTCAGCCTGTTCATTATCTATCATAATTTTTATCTATTTATCTATCACAGTCTGTTCATATCTATCTATCTATCTATCTATCTATCTATCTATCATTTTTTTTTATTCCTATTTCCCCTTCCTTCCTTCCTCTTTATATATTTATGGTTTGTTGATGCCTTCCTTCCTATCTATCTATCTATCTATCTATCTATCTATTGTTGATTTTTTTCATTCCTATTTCCCCTTCGTTCGTTCGTTCCTGCCTTCTATCTATCTATCTATCTATCTATCTATCTATCTATCTATCTATCTATCTATCTATCTAACATTGTTCGAATACTCAAATCCCATCTTTGTGGACTTACTGTTGTCCAAACACCGTCCCGTCTGATAAAAACTACAGCCAATGTCAGGTGTAATCTGCGAGAAAAAAAGAAAGAAACGTATCCCCAGTAACCTATCGACGATGGAAATTGTAACCTATTTTTACAGCGTCAGTTACAAGATCCAAATAATTCCGACATCATAAACACGAGTTCTTACCCAAGTTTTGGGATATTTAAAGCACAGAAAGGATTACTCACAGAAAAGACATAGAGAAGGAACATGTTTTTGTGTTGTCTTCTGAATCTCGGCAGAATAATGTTAATGAACTAAAATACTAGCATTTAATAACTACTCACCTCCTAATAAGGAAAGAGGGATTGGATAATTTGAGACTCACAAGCCATTCTGAAGGTAAGAGAGACAAACGGAAACAGCGAATAACTTACATAACAAGCTTATGTAAATGAATGGCAGAAGAGAGATGGAGAACTATAGTGAAAAGACAAACCTTACTAAGAGCTCTAAACGATGGGAAGTTGTGAAGTGCCATAATCATCCGCGTCTTGAATGGAAAAGGTACATAGAAGAAGATCTATAATAATGTGTTTCGTCAAATGCATTGAGCGTGTTTTTTTTTAAAAAGCAGCAAAAATGTTTTTTCTGTGTTTGATCAACAGCTGACTTGTTGAAACATATCACTACTACTACTACTAATAATAATAATAATAATAATAAGAAGAAGAAGAATAGCAACAACAAAAATACATCCTGTTATATATTTCGAAAATCTCGACAAAATGAAAAGAAGTCTGTGTAAAGTTATCACTTGGCATCTCGATTTCAGTCAATTTCCCGCCATAACGTGGCTTCCTTATGTCTTCTCATGTTGTATTTGAATATTTGAATGAGAATATGCTTGAGTGAGTGCTTGGAATGAATAAATATTTTATATTATTAGAGTCCCGCATTGATTTCGTCTAGTTAACTGATGTCTGTGCCGCATTTAAGGATTGGGTGGTGGTTATTACTAATATTATTTTGTTTGGATTCTTGTATATAGTCTTCTTTCACATCTGTAAATATTCATTTGGGTTTAGATTTTTTAAAATTGCTATTTTATTCCCCTCTCACGACAGACAATGAATTGTACATATGGGGACTAGTTAATATTTTCATAGAGACAATGAGGTATTATGGTGGATGCAGTAAGAATGGTAAGTAAGAATGCGTTGTTTTGGTGTTAGGAATATTGTTGTATGCTTGGTTCAGTGATTGTGGCTAGCTAAGTTTAATATCAAACACACACACACACACACACACACACACACACACACACACACACACACACACACACACACACACACTCTCTCTGTACTTATGGGGACTAGTTAGGACTTTAATTGCAGAATAAATATCGCTCTACCTTGTTGTTATATTCCCTTCCCCGCCACACACAAAAATTGTACATATGGGGACTAGTTAGAACTTTCATAGAGATTCTGTGGTATTATGGTGGATGTAGTAAGAATGGTAAGTAAGAATGTGTTGTTTTGGTGTTAGGAATATTGTGATATGTTTGGGTCAGTGGTTGTGGCTAGCTAAGTTTAATTATAAGACAGAAGAAGACCAACCACTTTTACCATTTCCCATTTTGGCCTTGTGCGACATTTTGTATTTTTTATAAAATTAAATATCGCTCTCGTCCTTGGTATCTCTACCATATGAATTTAAGCATACGACTAGATTGGCAAGTAGGTCTCATAGTTTTACTGTTGAACAAGATAGATATAAACGTAAGTTCTATTCTCATAGTTTCTTTCCCGCACTTCTCACCAGTGGAACTCTCTTCCAGTTTCTTGTTTCATTGCCAACCTGCGTCATTTAAAAATGTAAGTGTAACGTTAATCGGAAATCTTCTGTCTTCCTGAATTCTGTTCTTTTATTGTCCTTCTCCTCAGTGTTTTAGTGACATTATCGCCTTGCTTGGGGTGAAATGATTAAAAAGACAGTACAAAGTAGCAGTAAAAAAAATAAATAAATAAATAAAGAAGGATAAACAGTAAACCAAGAAAAAAACAAGTACTAAGCAAAACAAAGAAGTGAAATCGAGGGAATGACAAATAAAACGACTGAGACATGACTATATCGCGAACTCTCCTTTTGTGTGCAGTGTCCATTCATGACAAAGGCGATCATGGCTCTCTACAATCCCCTGGCCCTTGTCGTCCTCAGCAACATTTATCTCGTTGCTAAACCTCTCGCTACTCCGTTCCGTCATCCATTAACACACGCTCGTCAGGCTAGGTGGCCCATTTCTTACCCCTGTCTCTCTTGCCCTGTGAATATCAAATTCTCCAAGTCGTCCTTCCTCATTAAAACATGTCCAAGAAACATCTGTCTATATTTCTGAGATGAGGTATTGTAACTATTTACACTATTTACATCGCTCGGACTGTTGTCATGTTTATGGCCGTATTCACAGCGCTTCGAACGTTGTACGCTCCGGCATTCTTCAGGATCTGTCTATATTTCTGTGATGAGGTATTGTAACTATTTACACTATTTATATCCTTCGGATTGTTATTGCCGTATTCACGACGCTTCGGCCGTTGTACGCTCGGGCATTTTTCGGGATCTCTTTATATTTCTGAGATGCGGAATTGTAACTATTTATATCATTCGAACTGTTGTCCTCAACTTTATTGACATATTCACAATGTTTCGGTCGTTGTATGCTCTGGCATTCTTCAGGTGAGATACGTTGTAATTTCGAACCGGACCCTTTATCACTGTTGTGACCAAATAAATGTTTAAGTAATAACAACAACCAGGTTTGCAGATATATCGTATATTAAACAGTAAGTACACCAAAAGAGTATGACACGACGAGTGAGTGTGTATCGCACTCCATTCATTCACTGTTCCCCGAAGCCTTCCGTCCTACTAATCTTATAGTAGGCGGAAGAGTCCATCTTTAGATGGAGGACACCACAACAATCACCTGAAGAAGGCCGGATCGTACAACGGCTGAAACGCTGTGAATATGGCAATAAAGGTGAGGACAACAGTTCGAACTATGTAAATAGTGTAAATATGTACAGCAAAGTGCTGCTGTCTCTTTCTGATACTGACTGTAAATGTCTTTTTTGTTTCTATTTTTTTCGTAAGTTTTCTTCGTTACTTACATGTTTCTTCCATGGGATTCTCAGCATCCTTCTGTAGAACCACATATCTGTTGTTTCCAGTATTCTTTTCATCGGTGTATACTTGTATACACCGATGAAAACCATGTGCATATCAGTACTTACTGATATACACATGGATTAATATTACACAACAGTTCAACACACTTTTCTTTGTTTCTAACGACATTTTCTTGTTTCTTCGTTCCAGCCTTTTCTTCGTTTCGCCTTTCGAAAGCAACTTTCGTTAATCCAATGCGCGTTGGGATTTAGGCATTGCACTTTCCATCCTCGGTTAAAACATTTCCCAGACACTTAAACTTCTGTACATTTTTGATGTTGACATCTCCAGTTCGTAGTCCGCATCTTGGGCTTTTTTCTCTTGCTGACGACCACCAGTCCTATAAGGATAGGACAAATGGAAGATCAGTGAATTTCAAAAGTTGCGCAGAAATAATAAAATAGGTATGCTTGAGTGGGGAATGTGATTCACTGGCAATTGTGCAAGCAACTGCATTCTGATCACACAGACCAATGCTACATGAATAATCTACCATAGGGAACACACTTGAAATCACTCGAGACATTAAGTTTCAAAAAGATCACCCAAAAGTGAATGAAACACTTGAAATCAGTCGAGACATTAATATTTAAAGGGATCAACCAAAGGGAATGAAACACTTGAAATCAGTCGAGACATTAATATTTAAAGGGATCACCCAAAGGGAATGAAACAATTAAAATCAGTCGAGACATTAATATTTAAAGGGATCACCCAAAGGGAATGAAACAATTGAAATCACTCGAGACATTAAGTTTCAAAAGGATCACCCAAAAGGGAATGAAACACTTGAAATCAGTCGAGACATTAATATTTAAAGGGATCGCCCAAAGGGAATGAAACACTTGAAATCAGTAGAGACATTAATATTTAAAGGGATCACCCAAAGGGAATGAAACAATTAAAATAAGTCGAGACATTAATATTTAAAGGGATCACCCAAAGGGAATGAAACAATTGAAATCAGTCAAGACATTAATATTTAAAGGGATCATCCAAAGGGAATGAAACAATTGAAATTAGTCGAGACATTAATATTTAAAGGGATCGCCCAAAGGGAATGAAACACTTGAAATCAGTCGAGACATTAATATTTAAAGGGATCACCCAAAGGGGAATGAAACCATTGAAATTAGTCGAGACATTAATGTTTAAAGGGATCATCTAAAGGGAATGAAACAATTGAAATTAGTCGAGACATTAATGTTTAAAGGGATCATCCAAAGGGAATGAAACAATTGAAATTAGTAAAGACATTAATATTTAAAGGGATCACCCAAAGGGAATGAAACAATTGAAATTAGTCGAGACATTAGTATTTAAAGGGATCACCCAAAGGGGAATGAAACCATTGAAATTAGTCGAGACATTAATGTTTAAAGGGATCATCCAAAGGGAATGAAACAATTGAAATTAGTCGAGACATTATTGTTTAAAGGGATCATCCAAAGGGAATGAAACAATTGAAATTAGTCAAGACATTAATATTTAAAGGGATCACCCAAAGGGAATGAAACAATTAAAATCAGTCGAGACATTAATATTTAAAGGTATCACCTAAAGGAATGAAACAATTGAAATCAGTCAAGACATTAATATTTAAAGGATCACCCAAAGGGGAATGAAACAATTGAAATTAGTCGAGACATTAATATTTAAAGGATCACCCAAAGGGGAATGAAACAATTGAAATTAGTCGAGACATTAATATTTAAAGGATCACCCAAAGGGAATGAAACAATTGAAATCAGCCGAGACATTAATATTTAAAGGATCATCCAAAGGGGAATGAAACAATTGAAATTAGTCGAGACA